AGAGGTTTGGGCGCCTATGGCAAGTCACGCGCTATGTACGCGGTGGATTTGCTTCTGGAGTGGCGGCAACGGCAGCAAGAGACCTCCTCCTGCGGCTTTCATATGGAACCGCAGATCTGTGAAGTAAACTTCACCCCCGACTGCACGCGAGCCTGCCACTACTATCCCAACTTCTACAACGAGGTCTTTGATTTCCTCTTTCTGGGTCGCGAGTCTGAGGACATTGTGCAACTCGTATAGCCTGCCGTAATGCGATTTTGTACAGTCACTGTACTCACCATTTTGCTAGATAATTTATGTCCATGAGTGTTCTTTTGGAACTGGCTCTTCCGAGCATGAAGCTGCGGTACAGAATTTGGGGCCGTGGTAGACGTACTCAGCTAGTTCTGTTTGCGTGGTGGCTTATGGACGTCGATGAACGAACTGTTAGGGGTTCCGCTGTTTGGCATAAGAAACAAGGTGATTGGACACCAGGACGGAGCTCGTAAACTGTGGTAAGTAATAGTCCAACCACAGTTGTGAATGAGCGCAGCCGCTTTTAATCGGAGCCAAGCGTTGTCACCATTCGATGTGACCTTGCAGTCGTGCAGAATTGTGCTACTAAGGCAGAGCATATTGTGTAAGGCATGTTCTTTAAATTGTGAATTTAAAATAAAATTTTGATTTAATGGTTTTATTTGAGCAATGTTGCCCATTTCCTTGACTAATTTTTAAGAATGTCTCCAGCACTTTTTTATCGTCACGCCCATTCTTCTGCAATTGTTGGCTAATTATAGCTAACTAGTAGCAAATCATTGCCTTGAATTCTCAAGCTCTAGCTTGACAACAACCGCTGTCTAAAAAGCACTATAGTGACATATTAAAATTAGAATATTATTTAAAATTCGTTTGCACAATTTTGCTGCACTGTCTGTGATCAAAATTCATTGGTTCGTTCCTCTGATTGACACTTTTATGGGCAAGCCCAAACGCCAGGTTTTATCGTGCGTCCACCATTTTTGTCCACCTAATGTTGAGCTCATGCTCTCTGTACTGGTATTTGGTTTTCACTTAATCTACTTTGGAGTACAATTTTTGGATCTTAATATATTTTGCTGGAAAATTTTCTTATCTTGTGGTATGCAGTGTTTGTGGGTGTGGTTTTGCTTCCATTTACGCATTCTATTCCGTAACTTTGCAACTTTCTTATCAGGCGTAAGGTTTTAGCTTACACTTGAAGTTAAAATCTCAGTGGTTTTATGCGTTTTTATGAGTTTTGCTCATGTCTTAATGTTTATGCCAAAACCGTTTGTTTTAGAGGGCATGCACTTAATCGCATTATCACTAGCTTGTCCATTTTCTTTTTTTGTTTGGAGAAGATTCTTCTTGATATGGTGGATGTGTTGTTGATTGCAAATTCGTGCAAATTAATAGGGTCATTGGGCAAGTCTGATTATTTGTCTATGCAAAATTCGTGTACTTTTTACTATTTGGATATTTTATCCGCATCGGTATTCAAGGATTCCGTTTTACTTCCCACAAGCATCCTATGTTGGATCTCCTTTTTTACGGGCCCAGTTTACCCACCTTAGACCTTGTTCAGCCACCTACTGAAACCTTTTCGAATGCTTTTCTCTTCTTCTAGGCACTTTGTGTAGCAGTCCGAAACTGAAGTCTTTGAAAAGTTGTTGTAAGTGCGTTGTCTCTGATCGACCGTAAGAGAGTTTCCTCTGTGTATTATTCATCAAACAGCCTCACAGGTGCCAGCATTCCCTCTCCACTTGGCCATTTCTCCTGAACTTCAACGAAATTCCACGACCTGCGTATGTGAATACCAGTTGAATTCTTGTCAAACCTTTGGTAAAGGTACGGCTGACCTTCAATCTCTCTTTTTGTTTGAAATCAAGCTTTTACCAACAGTTTGGTTGCTCAAGTTCGTGATTTTGCACCTTTTATTTACTAGTCTTGGACATGAAGCCCTGATGAATTGGTACCACATATTCAGTTTTAAGTCAAAATCAGTCTTTGATTTCACTTCTCTTCTTTCCTATTTGTTATAAAGCCCATGCCTGTTCGGCCAACTCTTAATGCATTCTCAACGAACCAGGCTGTTTCAATTGCATGTTTAATGCTAACCACTGGGGGTATCGCTGCTTCCAACAGGCCATCTTTCCTACCGCCACCTTTTTCATCACCACAACCTTCGGAGTGGTCCTCCTCTGTGGTTTACTGCTTTTCTATTGATTCTCTGCGCGTTGGGCCGTTGTCTACCAAGCTCCTCCTTTGGAGAAGGCCTAACTTTTGAAATGGCGTTAGTTTACGTTTGAGAAAGTTAGTAGCTGGTATTTCTTTTCCAATTTTCAGGTTCATGAACGTATTAATGGCGATTACTTGTCAGAAAAAGAGTTACATGACTTATTGGGTAAATTGGAACTATGGTGTAGCACCCATTAATATTCCGGCAAATGTACCACTTATGCTACACATTTTGTGGGAATAGGCCTCGTCGGTAGGGGTAATGGTAGCCATTTTGTGTTTGTATAAGTATTCATTAGTTGGTATCATACGAGTATTTGTTTGCAAGCATAATGTGCTCTGTACGAGAGCTTCCCCGATGTTCGTGGTGGTGTTCTTCATAGTGTTTCTGGTTAGAAGTAGTTACTTTTCCAAATAATCCGTGTAGAATTTGTGGGGAATTTTTCTGGGTTTCTTTGACACAGATCCAGTAAGTGGTTTTTCCCTCTATTTGAGTGTTGTAGATTCTAAGCTGTCTCTCGAACAGATCCCATGCGCCCCATTTGAGTTTGGTGGTTTTTGCCCCGAAATTGCTTTTACCGATTTAACTTTCTTGTTTATTTTTATGCTTTCAGGTCGTAGTGTGATTTCCTCTTAAGCCCTTCATCTAACTCTCTTTATGTTCGCCTCCTCTAAAAATGCTTTTTTCTTGTTCCAAAGGTTGCCTTGGATTTTTCTGCTGTAATTTTGAATATTGGTTGTTTTATGCAAATTTTTTTATGAATAGAATCTCTCCTTACGACCCGCCCCAATACTTTGACTAGTAGGGTATAACAGCTTTACTCGTGTTTTTTTACGCATTGGAGTATTTCACAGTAATGCATATTGTGGTATCGTTGGGATATTGGCCGTAATACTTTGCTGTGTTTTGTTTTTAGGGACATTTTTAGAAGAATTCGACATGTTTGAGCGAACTTGAGTTCTTTTCGGCAATGTTGTGGCGGGTTTTTATGACCATAATTTCCCGGGTTGTCAGGTGGTTTATACCAACTATTCGTTCTAAATCCTCAGTTTCCCCAACCATTTATTACGGCAGCTGCATAACCCTTGAATTTCGAGCATCAGGTGGAGAGGGCCGCATCCAGTTGCCTAGGTTACAATCTGCGCTGTTTGTGCACGCCATGTGTCACTGGTCTTTCTGTGACTTGACTACTAAGTGGAGTGCATTTAGCCCGTCCGCTTGTCAGAACAGAACTGTCAACAGTCCTATCAAAAGTACTTTGTACTTTCACCACGCCTGATCAGAAACTATGTTAGTTTTGGGCTGTCCGCTCCGTTAGATAACCGAAAAATGTGACTCGGAACTTTGTTAAACTAGAAAACAACGGAGAGTGTTAAGGTTTGGTCTAAAACATGAAAATGAACTCGGACTTGCCCATCTATTGCAGTGTGGTCTCCTAGCCGCATGTGACTGTTAGTTTGTTTGGTGTTAGGCGGGCCTGCTCTGTCTCGAAGACGCTGGTATGCGGCCATACTCATGCCGCGCCTATACTGCTAGCCATCCGGCGTTTTCGTACGCCTATAACGGAAGCACAATTTAGAGTCGCCTGCTTTTGGAGCATTTCAAATACTACAACACTACCCAACTGTCTAAGCCTCAGGATTAACTAGACTGCTACAGACAGCCGATTCCAATACGCATTTAACGATTTATTTCGGCCAAAAGGTGGCTGCAGAACTTCAAATTCTCTACTGAGTGTAAATATTCTAGAAGTTACTTCGTCACTGTCACATCAAATCAGATTCCCACCCTATATATGGCAATGATAGCGCCATTGATGATGGGTGTCTCCTCCTAGGACGAAAGCCTTCCAAGGTGAAGACCTCAGTGGGGGTATTTCAACCGGGTGCATGCACTTTTGGTGAGCTCACATGCATTATTTCCTCTTAGCCCCAGCCTCACTTCCATAAATGGTTTGATGTTTGAACTTACGTGGGAGTTGGGAAGTAGATTTTGCACGATCTAATCTGACTGAATGGCTTGGTGTGCAAAACTGCGGATTGTCGATATAGCTCAAAGACAAGAAAAGGGTTAATCTACTTTAGACATGTTTGACACCTCCTTTCCATGGTCACAGCTATGACAGGAGTCAAGTCAAGGGGGAGGTCTGACACGGCAGATGCTGATCGGTGGGTTTTAAGGTCGCCGCAGTATAATGTTAAGGCATGATGACTCCTGCGGTGGAGCACTTGTTGGTCGGTTGCGACCCTGTTTGTGTTCCGCCGACCATACACACAGACTGAATGTCATCTAGTGATCAGCGGTCGGGGGTTAGTGAGTAGTGACTAGTAGCGATAAGCGGTTGTGGAGTGCTGACAACACCAAATTCTTCCACTCGATTCCATCTGGGGGAGGTGTTCAAGTGAAACGCCTGTTGACGGGTTTGCAAAGGAAGAAGTTAGGAGGAAATTTACTGTCATAACTTTGTTTCATGCGTTGCCTTCCCCCGCCACCATCGCCTTGGAGCAAGCCGTCTTTGCTACTGAATTATGAGGTGGAGCACTGACGCTATTGAGTTGATGCGCAGTGGTCCCTACTTAGCCAAATTGGCATATAAGATGACACCTTTTCTAAAAAGATTGGCTATTTTCCCATGAACAACAGAATCACAGTGACATCTATGGGCGAAAATTCCGTTCAAATGGCAATTCTGCCAGACACCCACGAACGCCTAGCAACTGTAGTGCTTGCCACTGGGGAAGCGATAAGATATCGGTGTAGGAGAGTACTTTGAGAAATCAACAGGAAGCTGTAAATGGGATTGGGTGACCATGTCACGGATTTGATAGTAGTGTAGTATGTTTATTGTTTGTTTAGCTCTCGTCTCGACAAAGAGCTATTCAAGAGCCCCGTCACTGTGTCTCCTATAGGTGGCCTGGCCTTTGGGCTGAGCCAGTAGTCCCAGAGAGTTCTGCATGTCGACAATCCATGTTCTGTCCGAGAGTTGTCTTTTTTCTTCTTTAGTGAAATCTCGGGACGCTACAGTATCTACTGATGCAAAATCCTTGAATTGGGAATGTATTCGTTTGTACCGGAAGGTTTAGGTCTAATTTCGATTACCTAATAAGTGAGAAATGGGAAATTCTTGCGTTATACACAATTGTTTCCACTTGTTGACTTCTACACCACTGCCTAATAGGCGTTTGGGCTAGATGGTTCAACTCCTGGCGGTTTGGTTTGGATCGCACTTGTTTGCTGCCGCCATGGCTGCGTACTACTACACCGGCATAAGGCAGTGTCCGCTTCTCAATCCAAGGTCATGAGGTGCGACACCGGTTCTTTTTTTGCCGGCTGCCATTTGAGCAACCTCCGTTCCTCCCAGCCCAAGTGAGCCAATCACCGGGACTCTCTATTTCCCATCATGAGGATGAACTGAATTATGTGTCGT